TGTCCTTTATTTTGTACATCAGGAAGGGGGGCTAAGGAGGGGTAAGTGGAAGGAGGTGAGGGAGGAATGGAGTACGAGCTCCTGATGGGGAGGACTGGGGTGGCTCTGCGGGCTTCTGGGGGTGGAACCTCTCCTGCAGCCCCCCAATTGCCCCCTTTCCCCAGATGGCAGCCTGCGGCAAGTGCAGCCGGTCTGATGGCCGAGTGTTGTGATGTGCCCCGTGTGGGTACTCTGGGCAATCCAAGCCAGGACTGCTTTTCAAGTAGGGCACCCCTGAGAACTGTGTGTCCGCGATGGGGGTCGGGTCCCTTTAAGCACAGCCCTCGGCTAGCCTGAGACAGCAGCTTCACGCTCTTAAGTCCTAATCTAATGCCCTGCCGGCACTGCTTCCGGCCATCCTTAACCCCGGTTCAGGGTCCACTCTGTGTGGACAAGCTAGTTCGAATTAGCAAAACGCTAATTCGAACTAGTTTTTTAGTCTGGATGCATTAGTTCGAATTAGTGCTGTAGTGTAGACATACCCAGAGCTGGTTGAAATTTTTTGTCAAAGTACTTGATGAAAAGTGGCTTTTACCCTGAAAATATTCGTGTTTGACAACACTTGCAACTCTATTAATGGAAAAAAATAGATATGGAAGTGTTTCATTTTTTATTGATTCCCCCCCCGGGTTCATGGGACCTTTTTAACAAATTTATTTTCCCAAAAATTCCTCATGAAGAATAACTGGTATTTTTCTACCAGCCCCTTACAGAAACATTTTTATAGACAATGATCATCCATATCCTTCTACAAGATGTGCAATTAATCCAGGTGTCAGGCTCCAGCCCTGCAAGGAATATTGCAGAGGCAGACTGCTGGATTTTCCTCACTCTGAGTTTGGAACTTAAATCAGAGCCTAATCACATACCAGGGGAGAATGCTTGAACCAAATCTTTTTATAAACACTCATTGGCTACAGCACTCTAGGTACATATAGGAATAGGACAGATTTACAGTTACAGCACCCCAAGGTAGCAAGGTTTTTGTCATGAAAGAAGAAAGTGCAGATTAAAAAGAATTTACTAAACATAACAAGAGGGCCTGTTCAGAAGACCTGTGTTTGGGATCCTGTTTTAAGTTGTTTCTTTAGGCAAAGCCATGTATGTGAGGAGAAACCTTGCATGATGCTACAATGAGTACAATATAGCAAGCACAGCAATGCATGATATTGCGAATCTGGTAACATATGAGCCAGCACAATCTAGCCTATACATTGGGGGCATACATGGCACACCAAAATGGGCATGACAGTAATTGACTAACCCTTACTTTGCCCAGTGCAGGAGTTTAAAAAGACAAAACTGTGTGTAGATGCTAATGGTGGTATTACACAGAACTTCTGGTAGTTACAAAGGAAAAGCTAATTTCAGTGCAAGCCTCCGTCTAACAATTTCCACTTTCTCAAAACAAGCCCTTAGTCATCATAAGCTGACAAATTAATACATGTGAGAGTAGAGTTTAACAATATTTATTAAATCCCCATTAAGAAGAATCAAAGCCACTCTGCCCTTAAACCATGTAAATTCCCTTATCTTAATGTTTGATTCTCTCTTCTGTGATAGCCTATAATCCACTAATCAAGGAGGCAGGAAGTGCCAGTCACATCCATCTCCAATACACAGCCAGTAAGACTGACACCCTGTTATGATATTCAGTAATTCTCCTAGGCGGTAATGGTAATCATCTTTTCCACAGATATGGCCTTGACTTGGTTAGAGGTCAGTTTGGCTACAATTTTTTTCTCTCCGGTTTTATTTGGCGCACATATTATTTGGGATTTAGTGATCCTACCAGGCATTATGTCCCTACAGAGAAAGGGGGAAAGAAAAGAGTTACAAACACAATGCTGTATGTATTCACTGGTTTCAAACAGTTTCTTTGGCAATTTAATAATAACTTTAGTAGTTTGCATAGAGCTGATATTTCTTGCTGCCTAACCCCTCAGTCCAGCTAACAAAAAAATCTATTGGCGAATGAATCAATGAGCTAATTGGTGGTTCAGGACTAGATCCAAAAAGGGGTTTAGGCACCTAATGTGGCAGTGGCCAATGGACTTTATAAAAGCAATAGCGCTTATTATTGGATGTTCCTAAATGCTGCTTTAAAAGTGTACAACTTCTAAAGTCATCAGAAGCTATGCCTTAATCTAATGCAAAGTACCATTATTATGTTAAGTGTAATCTCACCCTTGATCAATTGTTTCCATCTTAAAAATGCCCAGTCCTTCTACATACAATTTGCACTTTTCCAAGGGAACAGTCAAGGTATTTTTAAAGAGAAAGGAGCATGTAAAATCTTCATTAATTTTTGCAGTTTCTGGCATCTGCAAAATAAAGAAGGGTTAAAGGCACCGATTTGGTGCATCCTCTTACTAACAAAAGAAGACTAGAAGAAGTCTGTGACAGATTGCATTAAAAGAACTGACCACGAGAAAATCACATCAGTCAAAAAAGACAAACAGCTGAGATCAGAGAGTTAACAAAGACCAGAAATGTTCAGTTATCTGGTCCATTTCTTTGCCAAGACAAAGTTGTTTTCCCACATATATTCTCCAGGGTCTTGTATGTTTCAGTTTGAAATGACTCAAACAATGTAGTTTCCAGCATTTTTCTTGGGTGTCTACCATCTAACAGATTTCATTGACAGGACATAGTCTTTAATGTTCAACCCAAAATGTCATTTGCTCAGTTTCATTCCATGCCCCCTTGTTATTGCTGCACAGTCTCCTCCAACTCAGGTAGCTGATTCTCATGACCGTCCTACCTGTTACTCAAATTAAATATTCTGCTCTTTTAATTTGTCTTCTATTGTCATTCTCTCCAGTTATTTCTACTCATCTGGACTTTGAATTCTCTTCAATTTTGTTAGCATCTTTTTGTGACTCAAGAACCCAGAAATAGAGATGGGCCCAAACCAAACCTCCCACTTTGAACACCCCTAGACTTCAGAATCGTAGGTCTGGTCTACACTAGGAATGAGTATAGCTCTCTCTCTCAGGGGTGTGAAAAATCCATACACCTAAGAGACATTGCTATTGTATGTTAACCCCTGGTATAGACAGTGCTAGGCCAATGGAAGAGACTGCTGCCTTTCGGGGAGGTGACTAAGTTAAGTCTACACAGAAGTCGTGAAGTGGTTCAGCTGAGCCAATGTAGCATTTCAACTGTGGACATACCCTGAAGCTAGATTTTAATTTTCTGGTTACTCTCCGCCTTGACAATGGCCAAATCAGAACTCAGAGTCTAAACTGGCTGGGGCTGGACTGTTTGTCTAGGCTTTAGTCCCAGGTCCAAATTTTGAACCCCAGGTTCTTCTCTACCTAGAAATAATTATAGTATTCTCGGTATGGTCTCACCAGTCTTGTGCTAAGTGAGCCTATCACATCCCTAGTATCTGAGGTGACGCCTCTGTGATTTCAGCCTGTATTTGATATTTTATACGAACTAAAGAACCGAAGTGCTGGAGGGGGGGTTGTTTGTTTGCATTGCATTTCAAATTTCCATCTCATGTATGTGGTCCTATATAATCCCAACAGGGTTTTTTTTTTCTTTTTTTCATTACTACTTTCTAATTAAGTTCTGGGGCCTTGAAATTCAGCCTATCCTGATTTGGGCTTCCTGCCATGAAGAGTTAATTGAGTAGCATAAAAATTCTGGTAAGTCCCTTCCTTTATGAAGTTCACATGAAATATTAGGGCTCTGGGACCATGTTACCCTTCATCAGTTAGCTATTTTGGATAACTATTCCCCAGCTCTATGACTTGACATTGTATCAGACTGTAATTAGCATTTGTATTTCTTGTCCCTACATCAAACATACCTCTGTGAATGTGAATTATTTCTAATTTCATCTTCTCGCCCCCCCCCCTACGTTTTTTTTCTTTTTTTAATCTTGGCTGCAGTGTTAAGTTGGGGCAATTTGGGGCACCTAAATGTATCTGGAGACAGGGTTCTTTGCCCTTATTTTGGAAACTATCCTGATGTTGAGTTCTCACTGACAATCTGTCTTTCTAGTCACAATTCTAACACACTTATCTACTTAGCTGTCTAGCTATCGGCATTTCTATAACACCCATCACTGGGATATCTCTGCATGGCTTCATCTGTCATTAACTTCTTACCTCCACCTTGATAGGAGGATATTGGAACATTAGTGTTATCACATCAGTGAGCTTTTCACTAGTTTCCAAAATCTCAGCAATAATATTGACTTTTATGAGAAGTTCATCCTCAACAGCTGTTGTAGTCTTTACATAAGAGTCAGCTGCTATATTCAGAGGGAGCTGGATAACTGGACAAACAGATAAAAAGATGTTAGTAATACAACATTTTCAGTGCACAACAACCAGAGACTGAAGCAGAAAGTCAGCCGATCTTCATGGAAATGTGTGGACATCAGGAATGGTAGCACACACAAAGCTGAAGAGGAACATTTTAACCTGCCTGGACACTCAATCATGGATTTGAAAGTAGCCATTTTTCTACAAAGGAATTTTACCACTCAATTACAGAGAGATAGAGACTGCTGAACTGGAATTCATTTACAAATCTGGCACTGTTAACCTGTACTTGAATAAAGCTATTAACCGGTTAATGCACTACAAAGCCAATTGCCCCTGCTTTTGATATTCACATTTTCACGTCAAAAGCTATGAATGGGACACATCCTGCCCTCTTAATTAGCTTCATTAACACTGGTCCTACAATTATCAGGTAACTGCTTTTGCTGTTATATATACACTCCCACACACCTTGGATTCTGTTATTTCCACTCCAACTTAGCTGATGATCCAATATATTTGTTAGTCACTAAGGTTTTACAGGACTACTCATTGTTTGGTGTTTCTGATGTACATAATTGTTAATCTGATGTGCTGTATAGTTTTAGTTATGGACCCATAAGTGGTGACTGTTTTGCTTCTGGTTTAACATGTCTCCAATATGAGCAAAAGGTGAATTATCTGCAGAGCCAGTGGGCTGAAACTTGCTGAAAAGGGTGTGGCTGCAATTATGTCTACACTAACCTCCACGTTAGCTGAAGCTGATGTACTTACTACGGCAGCGAGGGCTGTTTTCCCATCAACGCCAGTTACTCTTCTCATCCTGGTGGAGCACCGGCATCAACGGGAAAGTGCTTGGAGATTTGATTTATTGTGTCTAAGCAGACGCGATAAATCAATGGTCGGTGCATTGATCCCCAACATAGCAAAAACAAGCTCTAAGACAGCTATGGTCAGGATTAAGGAATGGAATTCCAAAGGGTGTCACTGCCAGGCCTCTGCACAGTAATGATATGGCCTGTATGGGTAAGAATTTGGGGCATGAAGACTCTCAGGGAGAAAAGTTCAAATGAGCAATATCTGATTGAAAAGGGAACATTCTGTCCCATATGAACTTTCTTGGCAGCAGCACTTGGCACTTACTAATTGTAGAGCACTTCCTTGATTTGGGAGCAGTTTGATAGGATGGATATAAAGTGCTTAGGTGCATTTAGGCATATGAAATGCATAGCTACATTTGGGATATTTCCACTTGTTCACCAAAGGCACAGAGCATAAGGTATTTATGGTGAGTATGTAAAGTCTCTCTTCTTAACTTTACATTGTATTTCTAATTTTCTGGAAAACTTCCTTAGTGCTTGTGAAAGGCCCCAGACATGCCTTGCAGGAGACTGAACTCTGTTTAGTCACAATACCTCCATCCAACTAATCTTTAAGTTTTCTGTCCTTATCTTTCAAGCCCTGTTTTATGTAGCAGACCTCCATCCCCATCTAGTAGTACAGCTAGTATCCTGTCACATCAGTTCTGTATGTTCTGGTAACCATCCCCAGAACTGAATGTATTGTAGCAAGGATAACTAACCCTCTGAAGATTCTTACTGCAAGTGCATCATTTGCTGATAATTATTCTTCAGCCATTCATCTTCTCACCTGTTTTAAAAAGTTTGTCGTCTAGTCAAAGATCAGAATCAGTCTCATGTGACCCCCAGTGACATACAATGAATAACAAAGGGCAAACTACTTTAGCAAACAGTTCAGTGGCAGCTTATCTGAAATTAGTTTGTGTAAAATATTCTAACAACCAATAACACATACATTTGCAGAAACCCTGAATCAATCCATCAAAAATTTAGAAACAAACCCAAATGGGTTTAAATTCACTACCCCTCATGCTCACACCACCAATAGTCCAACCCCTTTTACCTGCCAAATTCTGAAAATTGGTGTGTTGCATTTTGTGCTGTTGACACTCATCCATTGGGAATCAGAGTGAAGTCAGCAAACTTATTCACACAAGCAACCAAAGAGGCATCAAATGAAATGCAAATATTTCAGATTTTGAACTCATTGGGACGGGGTTTTTTGGTTCTGTTTTTGTACAGCACCCGATCCATGACTGCAGCTCCTAGGCACTTCTACATACAAATATGTATAATTATACAGACTCTCCCCTGCACCAATCCTCCTTTATTATGCCATAAGCATCCTCAGACCACCAGTCCTATACCTGTATTGATTCACAGTCCTTCTACGTTAGCTCTCTTGAAGACACACTGCGGTATCAGAAGAAAAGGCACATACATAGGACATGAAAGATTCATGGACCCACCAGGTTTGCCTTCTGTCTGGACAGTCTGTTTGATGAATCCAAGATTGGCTTCTACTTTCCCAGTGTAGGTCTGCAGTTGGCAAGAAGCAGTGAGATTGACTGTCCATGCACCAACAGAACTGTTGCGTACAATGATGTTCAAATTAATTGGATTACCGAGCCACAAAGCTTTTTCACCCTCTACCTCCAGTTGGAGCTGAGCTTGTAGGGGTGGTAGACGAGGTGTGCTCTCACAAACTGATAAATTTGAAGAGTTCAGGTAGGAGCAAGCCTTTTCCACAGCTTTCCGTTCTTCTGGAGAGCCTGTATTCCAGGAAAAAGAAAGGCAAAGCTAAAGTCATAATAAATCATGTGGATTATAGTTTCCTCAAGCTGGTCCATCTTTTCACTGTTTGTCCTTCTGCTAAAATAGAGAGATCACAGCACTGGGAAATTGAGAGAGATGTAGACTAGTTTACTCTGCCATAGGATTTAAACAGTAAGGGTACATCTAAACTACATCCCTTTTTCGATAAAGGGATGTAAATTAGATGTATCAAAATTGTAAATGAAGCCGGGATTTGAATTTCCTGCACTTCATTTGCACAACGGGGGCTGTGGCTTTTTTTCTGGGGGCGGGGAAACCCACACACACCATGGTCAAGATGGGGATCTTTTGACAGAAATGCCCTGTTTCAAAAGATCCTGTAACCCAAAATATGAGGGTTACAAGATCTTTTGAAATGGGGCATTTCTGTTGAAAGATCCCCATCTTGACCGTGGCAGTTTTTTTTGTATTTTTTTCGAAAAGTGGCTTGCGGGGGTTTTTGTATTTTTTTCGAAAAGTGGCTTTTTGAAAAAAAAGCCACAGCCGCCATTGTGCAAATGAAGCATGGGAAATTCAAATCCCAGCTTCATTTACAATTTCGATACGTCTAATTTACATCGCTTTATCAAAAAAGGGATGTAGTTTAGATGTGGCTTAAGTGGACATACTGGACCAGATTTTCAGCAGTGATGAGTAATTTTGTGGGTTGCCAATCTGAGACACTTCAAAGGACCCTGATCTTTAGAAGGCTCAGTACTTCCTGAAATTTAGTGCCTCAAATTGGGCACCCAAAAAACAATTTCTCTTTTTTGAAAACTTAGGCCACCACATTTACACATTTTGAGGATGACTCTGAATCTACATCAATCTATGGCTATGTCTACACTGGCGTGATAACTTTTTTGAAAACTTAGGCTACCACATTTACACATTTTGAGAATGACTCTGAATCTACATCAATCTACGGCTATGTCTACACTGGCGCTATCTTGTGCCAGAGCTATGCAAATGAGGCTACATGTAGCCAAAAACTACACTAAAAGTGTCCTATGGAGTTTTGTATATACAGAATAGAGCTTGAAGAAAGTTCAGATATTCCAGGCTTCTGTTTACAAAAATCAGCTAGCACAAACATCTAAGATTGCAGGAGATGAGAAGTAAACATCTAAAAAGCCTATGTTAGAAGACAGGTGAGAAGAGGGATCAAATTCAGCATCTAACTTAAACGCCTTTCTGCAATGTTTCTCTGATTTCCCAACTTGGCTGATCCTCAAATGAGATGTTTTAATAGTCACATTGCTTAACCTAGCAAGTTTCTGGTTATGTGGTAAGTGGGAGAGAGGCTGCTTCCTGAAATATGATATAATTTGTAGATAGAAAAAATAAGAAACGGAGCAATTTTGGATCAAGTACAATTGCTGAATCTGTTGGGCCCACTTCTCTTACTTGCATGTTTACTACAACTTCTGACTAGAAATCAGCCAGCAGATGTCACAGCAGACCCAAAGGTACTTATACATCAATTTTCCTGATTCCTTTTCTGAATGTATTTTGCTGAGCAGTACACTTTAAATGTGCATTACTAAAGCAGCCAATCGGATTTCCACACTGATAAAGCATGTGACTACTCTGGTGTCTGCAGAAAAATCACACTGCCAACAGTCTAATCTTCTACAGGATGCTGGAAAGATTTTAATTATTGGTCACCTTCTGGGAACTTGTACTGCTCCGTAATGTCTTCCCTCGTGTTCTTCCCAACCGCTTTGGTGCTGATGCTCTTCCCAATGGCCTTGGTCTCCTCACGCAGTTTGACAAGTTTCTGTTTGTCATTTAGATTCTTCACCAGCCAGAAAACTCTGTCGGCATTCACTTCAGCAAACAAAAACTTGGAGTCATAGAGCAAATAGACTTCTCCACTTTTGATGGCTTTTAGCGGACAAGGGCCGCACTGGAAAATGCCTAAAGAGCATGTTGAATGTTAATACTGTACATATGAAAAGCAAGTAAGTGAGGCTTCATTTTCTCATTTCCCTCAGTCATCACATACACATCATAGCCCTGACTTCCCACAGCAGTGGCCCACCGCTTAGTAACTGAAACTGTCCCATGATGATGCATACCCTCCCAAAGCCTATGAAGCCCTAACCACACAAGCTTTCCCTGCCATATGCTCAAAGGAGTGTCTCCTTTCCCCCCAGCTGTTTCAGAATTTAAGGAGTGGGATTTCTCTCCCTGTCGGCCCACTCACAGTGCATAGTGGGGGTGGAGGAGGGATTTTGGTGCAGAAGAGGCCCCTGTACTGAGGGCTACTGGACAGAATACTGGACTGACACTCAAGAGTCCTGAATTGTTCCCAGCTCTGCCCGGTGACCTTGGGCAAACAGTGCCTCAGTTTCCCTCTCTATAAAATAGGGATAATTATACTGACTGCCATTGTAAAGCACTTGAGCTCTACTGATGAGAAGCACCTTGTGAGAGTTTTATTATTGTTGATTTTGTAAGGAACTTTGTTTTTGAAAGACATTGGGAGCAATTCCCCATAAGACCCAAACCATTTCAGTTTAGTTCATTATGGGCTTTGTCCCAATTTGACCTTCCTATAATTCATTACTTCCTGTCTCCCTCCCTCATGCTGCAGCCCCCCTCCGGCTTCGTTAGAGGATGTCTCTGTTTAGCCACCTTACTCTGGAGTAGAGAGATCTGATAAATAATTCCATTCTGATTTTGTATGGCCGCTGTTGGTAGCCCTGGCTGCAGTCCCCAGCTGATGCTGCTAAGAATCCTACCATTCTCCCCTATGGAACCAGCTGCAGACATGCAATTTCTAAGCAGGTTTTACAAAGCAGCAAAAGATTTCCCGAACTGAATATCATAGCTGAGCACTTCCTGCGAGGTGCTGAGCACCTTCAACTCCCAGTGACGACAGTGCTCAGCACCATGTGGTACTGCAGGATCAGGCCCTTCGTATCTATTTGCATGTGCTGGAGTTGAGTATATTTCACTTGGTAATGGTAATTCTAGGCCTTCTTTATTTCAGTTCTTCAACTCCTGCTGCACTTGTACAATTGCTGACTACTCTGTTCCCAAATTCCACATGGCAAGGGACAGCACATTAAATAGTATCAGTAACAGCGGCTAATGCACAGTCCAGCCCTTTGAAACCTGTTTTATCTCTAAGATCTAGCGCTATATACTAGATGTTGGACACTGACCCAAAAAGGTACAGGCTGAAAAAAAGTGCATCAACAGACTTTGAAAGTGCTTTGCCTTTCTGTAGTGCTTGTAATTTGAAGACCTCAAACTTTGCTAACATGGATTGATTAGCATCACATCACTTTTAGGCAGGTAACGCTTATCTCCCATCTGTGGATGAGGAAACTGAGGCACAGCAAGAGAAAAGGATTTGCCCATGGTCACCCTGTAAATTAGGGTAGAGATGAATACAGAGCCCATATCTCCTTATTCCCAACCCCTTACAATATTTTCACTTTCTAGTGCTGTCAAAGATTGGATTTTCTGCTTGCAAGAAATTCTGTTTCATCTATAGCCATGACATGAGCAGTGAGGCCAAAGGACTCTCATAGGGGCTGGGAACCAGGCGATCTAACATCTATTCTCACTCTACCCTGTGTGATCTTGGGCAACTCATTTCATTGCTCTGAGCCTCGGCTTTGACATAAATCGGACTAAGTCAAGTGCTTAAAGTCAAGCAGGTGTTTGAGTGCTTTGCTGAGAAAAGGCCATAATCTCCTTTTAAAACATCCTCTTCCACTCCCCCCCCCCAAAAAAAAATCACAATAGAGTCTCTTTGGTTTTGAATCCTACCTTGACTTATCTCCTGTGGGGTGGCATCAACTGCCTGCCAACCATCAAAACCCTGGGGCAAGTCTGGCCTTTTCATCCACACATCATTCCACACGTGAAAATTCCTAGAGGCAAGGAGCTTACAAAGTTAACAACACAACTGTTTGCACCCTGCCATTTAACAAGCATATTCAGCCTCTTGGACCCTAAGAACCAAGTGATTGTATTGATCCCCCAAAGGAAAATGTGGGCTCAGTATTGTACGCTCACTCATTTTTACAGCAGCTATACTTTATGAAAGAATGGGGGAAATATCTGTATTTTTTCATGCTTTACATTGTGAGAAGAGAGTGCAATCTACTGCAGGAATCTTACATCCATCTGTCTAACTGTCAGATTGTGAAAACCTTGCTATTGACTTCATGAGGCTTTGGATTGGACTCTGAATGAGGCCAGCCTCCTAAACACTACCTGCCTCTTTCACTATAGATCAGTTAGGCTTCTGATGCACACACACAACAGCCCTCCCCTTTACTCAGACCATTACGGGATTACTGTTAAAAATACCCTTTTTGTTATTTTGAAAAATGTATGGCCTGATCCAATATCCATTGTAGGCAATGAAAGTCTTTCAGTGATTTAAATGAGCATTGAATTAGGCCCTTACTCCACACGGGCGAGGCAAAGGATGATTTTCAAAGGCTCATAATGCAGCAGAATCAACCCCATGTTTCATCAGGTCACTTCAAAATACTTGTCTGGCCTAAAAGTTATTTCCATGACAAATGTTAAGCACTGGGCCCTAGAACCTATATATATAGATAGATAGATAGATAAAGGGCATTTTTTTCACCAACAAAGATGGGTGAAACATTTTTCTAGATGGTTTGTAGGAAAATTCACCTTCAGTAAGAGACCAAGTATGCATAATTTTAGCCGGATAGGACAGAAAGACATGAACAAGTCAAAACAAGAACTTAGAATGGAACTGCTTGGGAATTCCTCTCTGCTGCTAAGGTTCCATCTAGAACCTAAACCCAGCTAGAACCCAGATAGATTTGCATCTGAGATGAATAGACAAACAGGGAAATGCCTAAAAAAAATTCAAGCTTCCTCTTATTGTTCAGTTGTACATTTAAAATAATGTTCTAAAGAAACTCATAGACTCATAGACTCATAGATTTTAAGGTCACTCCTTCTGGTGATTAGAAATACAATTTAAATTGAGGTTTGCAGGAATTATCTAGCATTCTTTAGAATTACCAAACAGAATCTGATGTCATTTTATCCAGTTTTTCGCCTTTTTCATTCAGGTATATGTCAACTTTCAGGTTTTCCTCAGTATCGTGAGCTGAGGCGAAGTTAGTCACGCTTCTGGCTGGAATCCCCAGGCAGCGCATAACTGAAATACAGACAAACGAAACATCACTGAGAGGCTTTTTGGAAAGTTCTCCACTGCTAATTGTGCTGTGTGGAGGAATATCTCCCCAGTGTTTAGTGTATCAGGAAAGACGGACTGTACCGTGTTTTACCTGTAGTAAGAACTCCAGAGAAAACCCAGCACTGACCAAAACAGATGGATCTTTTTGTTTTGTAGTATTTCTGCAAAATTGGAGCACTTCCTGTCCAGGCCAGGGGGGAAGTTCCACCACTATAGGATCCTGACCAGTTCCCAAAAAGAACTCCTGCGTCATCATTGGAATTAACCTAAGACATAGAGAAGAAGTCAGGCAAGAGACCCAGTGGAACTCAGGCTGTGATGGAGATCCTGTCTGTGCCTGCACTTCCTCAGGGCATCCTCTGCAGCTATGGCAGTTAGCAAGGTTGTCTTGCTATCATTAGCTGGTTTCCCTCAGCCACCTGCCCATTTTCCTCTTGTGAGGCTCAGATTTCCAGAGAGGAGGTGTAAGTGGCTGCTCAGAAGAGCTATAACTCAGCCTGCATTTTGTGTCATAACCCCTACTACACTGAAAGGGGAACATTCCAAGTACGACAGCTGCTCTCCAGATTCTTGCCCCACCCCCTTCTTCAGCTGCAGAAAGTACCACTTCAGAATAGCAGCATACAGCAGAAAGGACTGGCTAGATCAATGGTGGGCAACTTTGGCTAGTGAGTGAATCATATAACTGACCCTCCTTCATCTCAGTGGGCTGCAAGACTGTCATACCTAAGATGGTCTCCCGGGACAGGGTAGTTTTGCTAACTGCGCTTGCGTACCTAGCATTTGCGGGGTGTGCTGACTGAACCACACCAGTACTTTGATTGGATGCAGAGGGAGCCCACGGTTCTCACGGTCAGTGTTGTGTGCAATCAGCACACCCCTCGCTTTCCATGCCCTGGCTTCATGTGTCTGTCTCTGTTGTAATACTGGTACGAAAAAAACAACATGGATGGAAACCAGCACAATCTGGCAACTCTGTGTATGGGCAACAGTAAACAAAGGTCTTGTGTGCTGCACACAGAACTCCAATGGGCTGCATGGGACCTCCCGGCCGCAGGTTGCCCACTACTGGGCTAGATAACGTGGAGATGCTGTGCTGCAGCTGCCTTTTCCCAATGGGCTGCATGGGACCTCCCGGGCCACAGGTTGCCCACTTCTGGGCTAGATAACATGGAGATGCTGTGCTGCAGCTGCCTTTTCCCCCTGTGCGCCATGTGAGTTATAAGCAAAATCCATTTCAAATGAGGCTTGTAATGGGCATACAGTGGGAGTGAGACAAACTGATTTGTAGCAGTAAAACAAAAAGAAATGAGTCAATGACAAGGCACTTCTCAGGCAGACTCACTAAAGCAGACATGGCTCTGGACACAATCACAGGGTCTTTTCTAACTTTTTGCTTGAGTTTACTTTTCTCCAGGAGATACATACAGCAGTCCAAGACATCCTCCTCAAACTGTTTTGGAGAGAAAAAAACAAAGGCCCATTTACTTGCTGCTCCAAATGCAAACTGCCTGATGCTGACATTGAAAAGTTTATTATCTCTCAGCAATTAACCTATATGACTGAGATCAACCTCCAAATCTTCTTTATTTATGCATTTACCTCTATGAAAGGTATTGGATTGACTCCCATGGAGACTGAAGTTCACCCATTATTTACAGAACAGGGTCCCATAACTGACACAGCTGTGCCTTAAGCCTCAAAAGAAATGGAAGGACCTCATCTTGGGAGCAGACATAGGTCAGTCTATGTCTAAGCTACGGGGCTTTATCAGAAAAAGGTACGCTAATTGTGGAACCCAATTTGCGTACCTTTTTCCAATAGTAGGGCTTTATCAGAAAAAAGTACGCAAATTGTGGAGCCCAATTTGCGTACCTTTTTCCAATAGTTTTTTCAGAAGAGGCTTTTCCAAAATTTGGCCCATCTACACTGGGCCAAATTTTGGAAAAAAAACCTTCTTTTGGAAGAGCCCTTCTTCCTCATGGAAGGAGGAAGACAAGGCGTCCGAAAGAACGTGTCTGCTCTTCCACACAAAAAAAAGCGGAAGAGCAGACACATTCCCTGGAGTTGGGGGTATCCTGGAAAAAACCCATAGTGTAGACATAGCCTCACATTCCATGCATTAATATACAGGGCGTGATCCAGCAATCCTTATTCACGTGTGTAGTCTTTAGTTACATTAATAGTCGCAGTGGAACTACTCAAATCAGTAACAAAAGTTTATGTGACTAAAGGGTACAATGGATAGATCTTTATTGCAACCTAATTGCAGAGAGATAAGGTAGGGGAAGTAGTATCTTTTGTTAGACCAGTGTGTGTAGGTGAGAGAGACATGCATCCACAGAGCTCTTCTTCAGTTCTCTGAGACCTCTCTCCTTTGTGGGGGCTGTGATCCTGGGCTCCAATGTCAACTATAACATCTACACTGCAATTTTGTAGACCAAACCCCTCAAGCCTGAGTCAGCTGACCCAAACCATCCATCACTACCCCGCCAGTCTTTTATTGCAGTGTAGACATACCTATTACTGTATTTTGTTTATGTATTGCTTGTGTGAACATTGAATCAAAAAATATACTAGACTGGGGGTGCGTCTACACTGCACCATTATATAGAGATAAGTAGTGTTATTTCGAAATAACAATGCAAGTGTCTACACAGCCATTCTGTTACTTTGAAATAATTTTGACATAACGGACAGCTTGTTCCGAAATCTGTAAACCTCATTCTACGAGGAATAACACCTATTCCGAAATAGCTATTTTGAAATAAGGCATGTGTAGACGCTCCACTGCTGCTGTTTTGAAATAGCCCCTTACCTGGGCCATTCTAAGTTACTCCTCCCCTTTGGGGCTCTAAATCAAGATTGAACATCTACATTAGGGAAGCCTGCCTCCGACTAATTTTGAGGCTTTCCTGCGGTGTAGAGGCGCTATTTCGAAATAAGCTATTTCAAAATAACTATTCCGGAATAGCTAATTTTGAAATAGCGATGCAGTGTAGACGTACCCTGAGTGAACTAGAGACCAAAGTTCTTTATTTATCTACACTATACACAAGATTTCCTCCACTGCTTTGCCCTAAATTACAGAGTAGTTCACTCTTCATGCCCTTTCAGTCACTACTCAACCACTGTATGTGTAAATTACATGATGAAGTTTTTAGACCATTTGAACCCAGTTCTCCCATCTTACACTGATGTAACAGTATGGAGAATCCGGTCTCTTATTTCTTACCACTCTCTGAATATCATTATCACATTAGCAACAACTACTTATTAAAATCAAGTCTATCATTTAGGGGCTGCTTGGTTAGTTGATTTTGTTTGTTTGTAGTCTCCAATTAAGGCAATGTCTGAATGCCTACCATGTTAAATCAACAACAATAGCAGAGTCCCTAGTGGAATTCATGGAGTCTCTGGTATGTCTCCCTTTTCAGGTTAAAATACTCTTCTTGGATTAGGGGGTTTGCTTTCTATTTTTTAGATTTCATTAATTTTCTTTTTAAAACTGTGTCTTAGGGGCTGTGGTGTGGTAGGAGGTTTTGAGTAGAAGGGGTGTCAGTGCAGAGTGTGTCATACATACAGTGGGGAGGCTTTTTCAAAGAATAAGGATTCATGACATTTCCTAAAAATGGTCAGACTCTGGATTTTGTCTGATGTCCCCTGGAAGTTGGCTCCACAGACACTTCCCCTCTACCAAGAAGGCTTTCTCTCTCACAGACTTCATGTTGGACTTTGTGATCTAATAATAAATTTATAACATTCCATTCTCAGGCCCTGATTCAGGGAGGAACGTACTAATGTGTGTGTGTTTAAACCTGAGCATATAATTTCCATTGTAATTAATAAAACTACTCATTACCTCTGAGTTACGTGAGGTAATCTTAAAAACAGGATCCTATTAATTGGAATACACCTGCTTGTGTTGTGTGAGAGAGAGAGAGATCATGCCCATATTATTACAGTGTTTTACCTGTCCAAAATTCCAAGGTCTTCCAAATATATTTAAAGAGAGATCATGCCCATATTATTAGTGTTTTACCTGTCCAAAATTCCAAGGTCTTCCAAATATATTTTGCTCTGATCCAACGTAGATGTAGCCCGTGTCACTGAGAACATATTCTGATCTTTCGGCATCATTACGCATGAAAACTGTGTCAGCTGAAGAAAATGCAAGAATGTGTTACTTGATTCTCCACACACTTAGCAGGAAACTTTTCAAAGGTTGAACAAGTCTTTTCTGTTTTTGAAACAGAAAGCTAGCAAAGCTTAGGAGCCATAGCATTGGTTCCATAATAGTGATTAAACAGCACTTCAGATTTAAATCCTGGACTTTCTTCCTTCCCTGGAAAGATAACCAAGAAAACAGTTTTATTTTTAACACCTACTTGTTTGCAATGAACTGGACTGTGAACCCATTTTTATCAACATGCAGCTACTCAGAGAAACAGGGCCATTGGCTTAAATGGGACCATTAGTGTGAATAATGGAGCATCAATGGGAGTAAGGGATTCCCAGCCAGGCCACAGTTAGGAATGTTAAATATTATTGGCTGATGTTTCATGGCTTGCAGAATTAGGCCTCTGATTTTTTAAAGAGAGAAGCAAGAAACTGAGAGTAAAGAAGGAAAGTATATGGAACACACACATCATCTCCTATTACAGTCACTGGCGCCACATGGCACGAGGTTACTTCTATTACCTTCACACCACGGGTTGAACAATACGTAGACCACTTTGTTTCCAGGGTTATAAACGTGAGGCCCAGTTTTCACACTCAGAAAGTATTTTCCAACAGCTGCATCTGCTGGACTGGTCACAGTTACCAGGCACTAAGCAAAGCACAAGGCAGGCAGTTATCCGTCACATTGTCCCCTCTTCAATATGAACGAGTGTGGTACAAGTCACACTCTCCGATCTTACAGAGAGCCGTGAATCTAGTCAAGCCTGGGGCGCATGCTGCAGGGAGAAATGGAAGGGACGAGGATGAGGCAGCTATCAGAAACGGAGTGGTGAATTAAACAGGATGGTGTTTTTCCTATAGAGCTAGACACAGGCAGCAAAAGCCCATCTTAGAGCTCTGAATACTCTCCCCTGTGTCCCAGTTAACTCTTCTTCCCCTATTACAGGGATGGGCTTGACATTGTCCCTTCTTGCATCCATCTGCCTCAGAGGGGGCCTCTCTGGAGTGACACAGACACTTTCTCACTCCCCCCAAGGCTCACTGTAGTCCAGGGGTGGGCAATCATTTTCGACTGGGGGCTACTCCAAGATGTTGGAAAGTGGTCAAGGGTCACACTCTTCTAAGATATTAATGGAGGAATTCCAGGGTCTGGGATGGAAGTTGGGTGCAGAAGGGAGCTTGGGGTAAGAGACTGAAGTGTGGGAGGGAGAATGGGGTCTGGGAAGGAGTTTGGGTGAAGGAGGCAGTTGCGAAGGGGACTGGGATGAAGGATTTTGGGATGTGACCTAGGATAGAAGGGGATTGTGATCTGGGGCAGGAGATTGGGGTGCCAGATATGGGAGGGAGTATGGGTGCAGGAGGGGGCAGAGAGTTGGGGAAAGGAGGGGCTGGGGTGCCAGAAGCAGGCTCTGGATGGGACGTGCTTACCAGCAGAAACTTAAGGCAGGCTGTCAGCTACAGGCAGCTCCAGTCTGGGCATGAGAGGGAGAGGGGAAGAAGCCGAGGACGAAGGGAGAAGGCTTCTTACGCTGCCCCTGCTCCCAGCAAAAGTTCTCAGCTCCTATTGGCTGGAAACTGAGAGACTGGCCAATGGGAGCTAAGTGATTTTGCTGGGGGAGGAGGGGACAAGAACAGCTTAAGAATCTCCCTCCTCCCTCCCCAGCCGTCTGGAATGGAGAGCAGCTGGCTTTTTAAAGAGTGAGCTGTTTTCTGCCTAAGGGTTTCGGCAAGGGGGCCGTGGACCAAATCCAGCCTGCTGGCAGCCTCTTGCCCCCTGCTGCTGTAGTCCTTGCTTCCCCAGAGCCCTCAGGCCAGGGCACGCCCAGAGCATCCACTCTACTATTGCAGCACCAAGTGGTCCTTCCATTTGCCACTCAAATGAATTATGTGTACCAGGGATCTACCTCCTTCCCATTGGTGTTCAAAATGTTGGCACACCAGCACCGGGAGTCCCGTCCAGCCCTCAGATTCATCAACACAAGGGTCTCATTGGATTCCATTGGTTTCTCACCTGGAAATAGATCAATGAAAAATACAGAGGAGGAGTGAATCAGCATGTGATAAGATGTGACAGGGTCTAAGGGTTAGAGGAGGTGTCTGGGAGTCAAGACTACAAAGTTCTATTTCGTGTCCTCGTGCTTTGATCTATAATCTAGCTACCAGCCCAGGTCTGGAAGAAAGTAAGTCTCCACCATTATGATGTATTGTAAAATTGGCCAGGTGAATTATGGGACATCCAATCCTTTATATCATCCAGCATTGGCTAGTGTTGAGGCAGGATATCACACTCGTTTGGTTGGGCTAGTCAGCCTGGCCTCAGTACGGGGACTCCTGCATTGGTAGGTGTACTGTTGAGAGCTGCAGAGTTGTGCCCTTACCAATACTGAGCTGCAACACCACTTTGTCATCATCTTTCAGCCCCCGGTCGAAGGTCAGCTTTAACTGAAACACCTGCCCTCGTCGCACAATCAGCGTGGCATTGTCATAATACTCCTCAGTGTGGTGAAGGGGGACATTTTGCTTTTGGAGTAAATCAACTCCAAGGGTCTTCAGGCTGCTGGCTGGAGACAGTAAGCCGGGGGGATGGGGAGGGAGAGAGAAAAAGAAATGGTTAAAACACTCAGGGAGGGGGAGATTCCATTTGCTTTGATGATTTACAGTGTTAAATAATAAAAACAACTGAAGCGTGACATCTTTTCTTAGTGGGACTCAGCTCCCAAGCCCATTTAGCACAAACAGCCTTGGAAGAGTTTTAGCACTGACTCACATTAGGACCCCAAATAGTATTCCCCCCACCACCGACTTCTCCCCTGCCAGTGTGTTAAATAGTCCAGTAACACCATTCAAGGGCTGACGAACCAGAGGGTGATGCTGACTAGAAATAACAGTGGAACAGAACAGTCTCTGATCAGCCAGTGTCCAAACTGAACAAAATGGACAAAATTCAAATAAATGAGATTGCTTAAAATTCCTTCCATTTTTCTGAAGTTTGGATGCCACGGTCTGGCTTTTGGCCATCCCGTCCTGACCAGACCCAACCTGGGGGACACAGGACTTGAACCCACAACCCTGTAATCCCCAGGCCACACCTGGCTTTTGGCCATCCCGCCCTGACCAAACCCAACCTGGGGGACACAGGACTTGATCCCACAACCCTGTAATCCCCAGGCCACACAGGAACCCCCCCCCCCACTTTACCCTCAGGCTGCCATAGACACAAAGGGTCCAGTTAATCTCTGCACCCAACCAACACTAGGCCCAGGGTCCAAAAGGGGAGACGAAGGAGACTTTATGCCTCTTTGGTCTTACCCAATATGGGTGTCAATGTAGGGCTGCTCTGCTTGGGCCTAGGCTGCCAAAAGCCCTAAGAGGTCATATAGCTGGGAACTGCCAGAACACAGAAACACTTCACCCAGACAAAGGGTCCAGTTAATCTCTGCACCCAACCAACACTAGGCCCAGGGTCCAAAAGGGGAGACGAAGGAGACTTTATGCCTCTTTGGTCTTACCCAATATGGGTGTCAATGTAGGGCTGCTCTGCTTGGGCCTAGGCTGCCAAAAGCCCTAAGAGGTCATATAGCTGGGAACTGCCAGAACACAGAAACACTTCACCCAGGTCTCCATTCCCTCAGGAAAGCCCCAAGTCCCTGGGCCCTGAGGGGGAACCTGCTACGATAGGAGGCATGGAACTAGCCATGCTGATGCTATGCCTCATGGGCAGGGGGCCTCCCCTCCCCTTATCTCAGGGGCATTCCTCAGAGCAGCCAGCGCAAAGGGACTGCCACGCAGGAATGAACTGCACCTGGCTAACATAACTGGCATCGAAACAGCCAAACATGCAGCATCAGGAGTAGAACCAAAGTCCTCACGCAGGCCTCTAGCATAATGAATTAAGCTTGAGCTGCCACTTCAGTTCTGCTTGGAGAGTTCTTTGTTTCTGGATTTGTGAGGGTAAGTGTTTACACCTTGTGGCAATGGGTAGTTGGACACATAATAGCTTTAGATTCTTCTTAGAGTAGTGTCCCTGTGGGTGCTCCACTGTAGGTGTTGGGCTTGTCCGTGGCACTGGGACAAGTCCAACACCTAGGCTATGTCTACACTCATGTCTTCTTGCACGAGTAATATGCAAATGAGGCTAAGCGTTGACTATCACGGAGCCTCATTTGCATAACTAATGAGCCGCTATTTTGCGAAAGAGGTTCTTGCGCAAGATGGAGCTGTCTACACTGCCCCTTGCGCAAGAAAAACCCTCTTGCGCAATGCCGCTACACCTATTACTTGAGAAGAAGAACGGCATTGCGCAAGAGGGTTTTTCTTGCGCAAGAAGGGGCAGTGTAGACAGCTCCATCTTGCGCAAGAACCTCTTTCGCAAAATAGCGGCTCATTAGTTATGCAAATGAGGCTCGGCGATATTCAACGCTTAGCCTCATTTCCATATTACTCGCACAAGAAGACGCGAGTGTAGACATAGCCTCTACAGTGGAGCACCTACAGGGACACAGATCTCGAAGAACCGTCGTTACTGCACAGGGTGAGTAACTCCTTCTTCTTGTCTGATGCCAGATGTGTTCAGTTTAGCTAACAATTGTGGTGTTTGTGCTTATTGCTCCTCTGGCACAGTGGAACGCTCTAATGAGACTCCAGTTTGTCTGTGAGGGACAAACTGTTGTTTCTGTAGGGCTGGTCCAAGACTGTGGAATGAACTTCTCTAGGGACTAAGGACCATCACAAATGTCATCACCCTGCACTCTAAGTGCAAGACACATTTCTTTGAATATATCTTAATATGCACAAAGAGCAACATGTGTGCGCATAGCTATCAATAAACAAATTCCCAGAAAAACACTCCCTGGCACACACCTCTCCTCCTGGGGCAGGGATGATGAAACAAACAAGTGACAGGTGTTAATAATTTATGTTGTTTAAGGTGCTCAGATAGAGAGGTGAGGAATATGAGATAAACTACATAGAACCAAGTAGCTTATTTGCATTGCTCTCTAAAATAGTCAGTTCCTAGGTTTGTGAAATGTGCTTCCCTCCCTCCCCTTCTCAAGTCAGTAAATGACTCATTGGAATTTTTTCTGACAACTGAAGATAGAACTGAGCAGAGCAACGGGATTGCCACCGTTAGCCAGGGCTACTCAGGCATGCCCTGCTTCTCCAGGGGGTGAGCACAGTCAGCTCAAGACAATGTGTCCTGCATAATGAACAGAAGGTTGGATTACAGCCTTCGCACTTGTGGGGATGTTGCCGTAGTTTGGAAACCCACCTTCACCGCTCTGGAGTTTAGTCTTCTATGCTACCAGCTGACATGAGCTAGGCAGGTGTTGAGCTGAAATTATGGCTTATTATACAACACAGCTACGTCTACACTGCAGGCTTCTTGCGCAAGGACTGTCTTGCGCAAGGACTGTTTTGCGCAAGAGTTCTTGCACAAAAGGTCTTGTGCAAGAGCTCTTGTGCAAAAGGGCATATTCCTCGTGGGGAGAGGAATAACTCTTGCGCAAGAAGCCCTCTGTTCCGAGACTTTACTGTAAATTTACTTGCGCAAGAACGCGCGCAAAAGTTGAACGCTCCGTACGTTTTTGCACAAGAATGGCCGTTATTGCGCAAGAAATCTGTAGTGTAGACACAGCCCAACAGAATACTAACAATAGTCTTTGGAAGGGATATTAAACTTCATGCTTCCAGGATTTAGCCATCCTCTAGCTATTAGGGCATGTCTACACTGCAGGGCAAAAGTTGAACTGAGATACCTAACTTCAGCTATGTCAATTGCACGGCTGAAGTCACAATAGCTTGATTCAGCTTTTGGCACTGTCTATACAGTAGAAAGTCAAAGGAAGAACAGTCTTCCTTTGACTTGCCTTACTCCTAGTGAAATGAGGGTTATAGGAGCCGGAGCACGAAGTCCTACAGCTCGACATTATTTCAAAATAACAGCTTGCTGTGTAGACGTGCACTTTGTTATTATTCTGATATAACGCTGCTGTGTAGACGTAACCTTAGAGAGCCTTGTGAGACCTGTGTGAGCAGCAGATTACTCCACACCTGTCTGCTGTGGGGTTCTTATATCTTCCTCTGCACCATCTGCTATTGGCCACTCTCAGATCCTACGGACTAGATAGATCTTGAGCCTTATGCATTATGACAATTCCTGTGTTCCTAATGCTTCATTGATGCCTCGTTCACTCCCTCACCCTACATCAAATTATCTCATTCACCTGTTGAGCCAGCTCATAACCGAGACCATGAACTCTCTGGGGGAGCAGATTAGCTTTTCACGGCATGTCTAGTACAAGGGGACTCTGCTCTTTGAGTAGCACCCTCTCTGTGCTATGGCAATACGAATCAGCATCAGCATCTGTGTTAAAATAATAATATCAGCATCAAGCTAAGTGGTGAGTCTCCTCCAGAAGTTTGTTCTTCCTGTCAATCTCCAATAAGTGCCACAGTGAAATACACAAACAAAAAACACTGACTACATTTTAGGCATAAACCCCTCAGTATTAGCTCTTTAATACAGACTTCAAAAACTCTTTGGAAGGGATCTCATCCAGGTTCTATCAATATGGTTTTATTGCCAGTGGAGAATACGGTCATCGTGTCAGTTTATATATGAGGAAAATGCTCAATTCCAGGGTTGTTCAGAACATTAAAAATCCGTACTGGCATTTAACTAGCACAACTCAGCTTCGAGGATTTGTCCTCCTTGGGTTTTATTAGGTAGTATATTCCCTCAGAGCAAGGGTTGGCTCTGTATCTGTATTTTGTACAGCACAGAGAGCATCATTTGTGCAGCGCTCATCATATAATAATAGCAACAGCAAGTGGCTCTTTGAAGACTTATTTGGACTGCTAAGATTTAGCATTTTAAGGTCTGGTCCTTATAAACTATTATCGTTGGTAAATCTCATTTGGGAAGCCATGCTCATGACCAACTAAAAAACATTTCACCCGGGAATGCTCTGACCACCCAAGAAGCAAAGGGAGCGTTAGGGCCATGTAATGGCAGTCAGCTAAATGTATTGTCACACTGGTCTGAGGGTGATGGTTAAACCTGAGGGGTGAAATCCTGACCCCACTGAAGTGGTGGTTAAACCTGAGGGGTGAAAGCCTGACCCCACTGAAGTGAGGAGAAATTTTGCTTTGACTTCAGTGGAGGTAGGATTTCACTCTAGTAGCTTTCCTGTTTATTTTGGGGGAAACAATCAACCATAACAATGCCCCATTTTAAAAATCTCCTCATGACGGTTATTGTCCTGGTACGGAACAACACTGGGCCCCCAAGTGCTCATGAGCATAGATTCCCAAATGAGAGTTACTTAGGCAGCTTTGTGACAACCAGAGCAAAGCAACCTAAAAGCCACTGTCCCCACAGTGGCCCCTACACTGCCTCCATCTCTGCAGTGAGTGCTGGGAGTTTGAGCAGCCATCCTTGTGCCCCAGCTGGCTCCAGCTTTCCTAACAATAGCTCTCTGGGTCTTTTGTCTGCCAGTGTTATCTTAATTCAGTCTAGTGCCCAGGAATAAGGAAGGGTGGCAAAAGAGCACCTTTGTACTCCAGCAAGAGTGTCCCTGAGCTGCAGCTGAGGCTCAGGGCTATGGTATCACATCAGATCCACTGTACTGCCTGAGGGGGGAAAAACAACAACAACATGGGCTGGCAAGGGTAGAACAAAGCTAACACCGGCACATTTAAAATGAATGTCCTTGGGGCATACCTTGGTTACATCATTTGTTTTCTTGCTGTTGATTGCAAAGGTGTGACAGCACAAGCCAAGCCAAGGTGAAGGTTGGGTAACTTTCTATATAAGTGTCTCTAACTTTTATTTACACTCTAATCTTCCAGTAAATATTCATTGATAAGTACCGGGGCAAAGTTTGGTTGCTTATGTCAGGCATAACTGAAGATAGTGTGATAAGCATGACAGTCTCAGGTGTGAAATCCTGACCCCACTGAAGTCAAGGGGAATTTTGCAATCAACCATATCAATGCCCCATTTTTCTTTAAATCTATATTCTTGTGACTTAACTGGTTAATCAGTTAGCTGACTGTCCAGCTCCTGGGTTGTGGAACTGAACCTTTAAAACCCTTGGGAGGACAGTTTACAGTAGGGCTCTAAAATCCCATTTAAAAAGTTAACCAGTTAAATGTTACATGGTGGCCCCCCCAGTCAAGCTGAAGCAACCCCCCACCCATGGCACAGTGCAGTGGGTCCAGCCGGGCTGGAGCACCACTCACCTGCAAATGAAGTGGGCCCAGCCAGGCCAGAGTGTCTGGTGGGAGGCTGCTCCAGTCCAGTTGGATCACCAGTTAACTGTTTACCCCAGTAAGGATGCCAGTAAGGGTGAAGCTAACCAGGTAACCACTTAACAGGTTAACCCTTTACATCCCTAGTTCAGAGTTAGTTCAGAGTTAGACCTGATGACAAATTACAATTTGGACTGTAGAAATTTGCTCTAATTTAACAGCAAAAATGTACAGGTACGAGGGGGACCTGTGTGTAAATATCCTCTTGCAGCCATGCTCAAAGCAGCAGAGATGAAAGTGTCCCCAAGAACTTCCCACAAAAGCCGTCCATAGCATAGAAATCTGTAGCACAACTTGAACTCCGTTAGGTGGTGATTTACCTCAGGCTCTATATTTTGGAAGGCAACTTGCTATATAACAAGTTGCATGAAACACATTTCACAAAGGGCCACTGTACTGTAGACAGTTTGGCGCCAGTGATAAGCTATTTATCATCACACTGGACTTATCAACAAGAAAAGGGAGAGTTAAAAATGCAGGTGTGTGCAATATGTTTTATCACTATCTGTTAGTTGACGCTTTAGGAGAGAAGCTGAAGCAGAACAAAGAATGTTTGTACTTCAGAAATACACCGAGGGCCATTCGAGGGAGATCTGGAGAACCAAAGAGAACCCACTAAGCATGGGCAACAGTGAAAAAATTGGCAGGAGTACTATGGGACCAGCAATTCAGTAACAAACTGAAAGTGCACGCTGTGGGTGTTTGCCTGCTCTATGTTTTGGAAATAGTGGGTCCTCCAGGGATGGAAGAAAAGAAGATATGGGTAGCAGAAAATACAACATGAAGGATGATGGCTGCAAGCAGTAAACAGACATTAGGAAGGAAGACATTAGGGGGAAGATGAACATGGGACTATCAGGGATAGGCATTAGAGCACACATTTGAGGGTGCTAGACACATAATATGAATGGGAGAATGACCAGCAAAGAAAGCCTGGGGGGAAGAGTACAGAAAGAACAGCACAGAAGACTGAGGGGATATGATGGAAAGACTGTCAAGAGAAGAAACCTGAAGAGAAAAAAGGCTGGAACTCCAAAAGCTCTGAACCTGAACCACAGACCAGAAAGACTGGCAAAGATTCCTTGACACCTCCCATTCTATTCAATCAGGAAAAGAAATGAAGTGTATTTATCTATATAGAGCAAGCTCAGATGCGTCTCAGCACTTCTTCAGATCATGCTCCCATCCTACAGTAATGAACATGTGTACCAACAACAAACACAATAAATAGACACGTTACAAATAACATTTTGGAGTGGAAGCCAATGGAAAGTGCCGTATTTTCATCAGTGGGTTTCAGATCTGGTTCTTGGTACAAGAGCTTGCCAGAAAGTCACTCGTGGGCATACACTGGTCTCAAAGCTTATGAAGTTTTAAAACTCACCAGCTGTCTGACTCATGATCCTTTCTGGTATTGAGTGCTGAAGTACCAGCAAAGCCTGTCGTCACTTCTGCCACTATCCTCTGACCATGTAGAAGGAAGCAGTCCCTTTTTATTAGTAACTGGCTTTGAAGTGTCAGCACGTACAGTGCCAAGGGGTGGTGTTTGGAAAGAGGGAGTTGATGTGAAAGAATGACTACAACTTACACTGCACACACAAAAACCCTAAATTCCAACAGCATATAAATCACAACAGGTCTGACAGGTGACTTCTCTGGAATCAGTGACAATAATAGTTCCACAGGCTTTTTTCATCAACAAGGGCAGCACAGGTACAGACAATGAGTGATGTGGGTTACTCCATGGTAAATGATCCATGCCAACAGTAACACACTTCCAGAGCAGCTTTTAAGGGCAAGCAAAGATCTTTAACCCTGCAAGTAACAGCATTTTGCACCGGGGCAGCTGAGGACAGATCTGGCTGCCCTGGAAGTCAATGAGAGTTTTGCCATTTACCTTTAAGAGTAGAAGGAAAATACAGCACCCTCATCTGTACCGGGGAACCCTGAGGAGGTGGGGGAGAGAATCAGCATGGCTATGGACTACCATGCATGGGGTGCCCACCATGCAGCACTGCTGTATGTGAGCTCCATGCCCTGCTTAGGAGTGTGCAGGACTTCGGAGTAGGCAAAATGGGGGAAAGGGTGGAAAATCCTTCTCTCTTACTCCCCACTAGCTGACTGTGTAAGAAATTGTGTTGGAATTTGAGACCAGTGTATGCCCACGAGTGACTTTCTGGCAAGCTCTTGTACCAAGAACCAGATCTGAAACCCACTGATGAAAATATGGCGCTTTCCATTGGCTTCCACTCCAAAATGTTATTTGTAACGTCTATTTATTGTGTTTGTTGTTGGTACACATGTTCATTACTGTAGGATGGGAGCATGATCTGAAGAAGTGCTGAGACGCATCTGAGCTTGCTCTATATAGATAAATACACTTCATTTCTTTTCCTGATTGAATAGAATGGGAGGTGTCAAGGAATCTTTGCCAGTCTTTCTGGTCTGTGGTTCAGGTTCAGAGCTTTTGGAGTTCCAGCCTTTTTTCTCTTCAGGTTTCTTCTCTTGACAGTCTTTCCATCATATCCCCTCAGTCTTCTGTGCTGTTCTTTCTGTCCTCTAGCATCCTCCACCAGCATGGCTCCTCAGGACAGGCACTGGGTTGTGGATTGGGACATTAGTGCACTCTTTGTGCAGACAACTACCTGCTTACCAGTGCATCTAAGATGGCAGCTGTGTTTGAAAGTGTATCCTTGTATGCTCACAGCCCCCACAAGTTAAACACACAGAGGTGTGACATAGGGATGCTAACTGGTAACAGGTGATCATACAACACTAGAACTGGAAGGAACCTCAAGAGGTCATCGCATCCAGTCCCCTGCCCTCATGGTGATGTTTTCCAGGTAATGGTTAACCAGCATCCGGGGAACAGTCCCTCCCCTCCCGCCTGCACCCATCATTAGCTCCCCAAGTGGAGCTGCTGGCTCCCAGGCTACATGGGCTGGGAACTGCAGCCATACATGGGACTGTCACTTTCAGCTTTGCACAGGCTGGGAGCCAGCAGCCCTGCATGGGCTGGAAGCAGCTGAACTGATGCGGCCCCTGGCTGTGGCCCCTCATTTTAATCAGTTAACTGGTTAAACTTAACATTTAGCTGGTTAACTGGGATTTTATATCCTTACTGTGACATGTCTGACACTGCAATGCACTTGTGGAATAATCCTGAGGGGGAAGCTTGGTGATATTCTTCAAGCAGTAAGCCAAAAATGATTAACCAAAAAAGATTGTTCTGAACGGTTTGAAACTAAAACTCTCTAAGGTGCAACCTATGTTATGGATGGCCCCTTCCATCGCTGAAGTAGAAATAAATGTTAAAAGTCAAATTTACGTTTCAACGTGGCTGATGTTCTGCATGTCTCTCAGCCCCGAAAATGAAAATAAGCTGGTCGACTCCTTTCCAGAGGATGTTGTGAAGACCAGGATTTTAACAGGGTTCAAAAAAGAGTTAGATACATTCATGGAGGTTAGGTCCATCGGTGGCTATTAGCCGGGATGGGTAGCAATGGTGTCCCTAATCTCTGTTTATCAGAAGCTGGGAATGGGTGACAGGAGAGGGATCACTTGGTGATTCCCTGTTCTGTTCACTCCCTCTGGGGCATCTGGCATTGTCCACTGTCAGAAGACAGAATACTGGGCTAGACGGACCTTTGGTCTGACTCAGTATGGCCGTTCTTATGATTTCACTTGAGTTTATAGTCAAGTTCTAATCATATAAAATATATGGAATGTAGAAACAGTACAAATAACAAAACAATAAATATAATAATGTGAGCACCTAAAATTATACCATTGAGTTTCTATAGAATTGCAGCAGTCCAGCATCCCAAAACTACAGGACATGCGGCTGTGCTTTTACCAATTCATTCTCTTTCTCAAAACTGGATGCTGCAGTGTCTCGGTTATAGCCTGCTTTATCCCCGTAAGAATAAACTGTTTCCAATGAAAGTATTTTCATAACATCCTGGATATGTTTCTATTAGGCTTTATATATGCTGTTCAAACAAGCATTTATTTTCTGAGCCTACCTGTGGACCCTAGATACCAACAGACTGTGGAAGGCTTGAAAAGATCAATTTGGTATCTATACTCCAAAGAGGCCTCCTAATTTTGCAATTTCACCATAATCCCTGGCCGTACACTTGTAATCCTTCTGCCAGGTGGAGCCAATAGCAGCCAGGGACAAGTTCAATAACTAAGGGTTCCTCTTCATTCATCCAGCACAGAACTGGCTTGAGCCCCAACCCAGTAACCTGGGAAATTCACACAACACCCCTGGGTGTCTCTGGGAGGCAATGCTTCAATTTGGGAAAACACCACAAACAGAGCTCATAACCAAAACCATGAGTAAAAGTCCCACTCCAGTAGGTTGGGCAATGTCCTGTCACTCTCAGGTGTTTAAGTCCAGCAATGTCAACGTCCCCTTCACATACCCAACCCTTCTCTGCACCCCACTCATAGTTGCTGCCCTTAGTCAGGGCAGACCCAGAGTTCATCTGCCATCCTGAGTGGGGGGCAGGTAAAGAGGCATCTTACTCATTTTGCTGGTCACTCACCATAGACTAGCTCACTGCTCGCCCTTGTCTCCCCTCTCTGCCACCGCCCTGCTGGCTGCTTATTGTGCCACCACCACGCTGCTGGCCACCCATTGCATTTCCGTGCTGCCGCCCTGCCGGCTGTCAGTCTTCATCTGCTACCATCCATTTCTGGGCTGAGACTTCTGCCCATTAGCCTCTTGATTTCAGCTCTTGGTCCAAAGCACAGTCCAGCCACAAGAAATTCCAGCATCCACTGGAGTATATTTACATACTAAAGAGAGTCCTTATGGAGCCGCTCTACATTGAAAAAGTGGGGAGAAACAGGTTGAACCAGTTTACCCCTGGTGGGCATGCAGCCTGCTGACTCAGAGTCCTGCCCTCCCCCTTAGCCTCATGGAGCTCTGGCAGTGGAGCCCTTGTCCTGCCAAGGTTCTTTAAACTGACAGTGTCTGTCTCCTTTTGAACCGGGTTAACCACAGTCTCTTTTCTGTATTCTCACAATAATTGCAAACATTGGTGCTCACATTTCATATTTTCCAGTTCCTACATTGAGTATTAACATGATTTCTGACATGAACACAACCAAATTGATTACAATGAGAAAACACACCACTCTATCAGTTGAATATCTAGCAAATCTAAGTGGTTGTCAAGCTCCTTTTCTCATGACCCAGTTGAAGAAAATTGTTGATGCCTGGGAAACAACTTAACTTGACTAGAGTGTGGGCTCCAGGGTGGGGCTGAGGGTATGGTGTACGAGGGGCTCTGGCTTTGGGCATGGGGCAGAAGGGGCTTATTTTGAGTGGCCCCAGGTCAGCAGTGCAGAGGGGGAGCTAAGGCAGCTTCCTGCCTCTCTTAGCACTGCAGACCCTGCTGTGCCCCAGAAGCAACTAGCAGCAGGTTCCCAGCCAACGGGAGTGCAGAGCTAGTGCTCAGGGCAGGGGCAGTGTGCAGAGCCCTGTGCAATCCTCTCTCCACCTCACCTAAGAGCTGGACCTGTTGCCAGCCACTTCTGCAGCACACTCTGTGGTGCCAGGACAGGCAGGGAGCTGCCTCTGCACCCCCACTGGTCACCTGATCACTCTGCAGCAACGAGACCCAGTGCCTGACACTCCACAATCCACTACTGGGTCATGACCTGTAGTTTGAAAACCACTGTGCTAATTAACATTAAAACGAGTGGCACTGACCTGGCAGAGGTCCTCCTATGCTACTGAGCAGCTCAGCCAAACTTCAGACCAAAGCAGTCTCCACCAGTTTGGACTTCAGACTCCTGGAATCAGAGACTCAGGTTAATGCTCCCTTACATGCTCAGCAGCCTGTAAACCTGAAGCTCCTTGTGTTCTGAGTAGGACACTTGCAGTATATTCAGTCTCTAATGGTTCATCTACACTGGAATAAAAGACCTGCAGAATGACCGTGGCTGGCCCAGGTCAGCTTCCTGAGGGTCACATGACTTTGAGTGCAGGGCTAAAAACTGCAGTGTAAACATTCGGGTTTCAGTTGGCACCTGAGTGTAGGGGGAGGACCTGAGAGTTCAGTCCCCCTTTTAAATCGACATGTCTACACAACAATTTTGCAGCCTTGTAGCCTGAACCCTGTGTGCCTGAGTTGGCTAATGGGTATGTAATTGCAGTGTAACGTACATACCCTAAGATTTCACTTCACGTGCTGTTAGAGAACATGGGTTAAATCCTGCCACCACTGAAGTCTATGGATGCTGTGCCCTTTCTTACTTTTTCTTAATATAGGTTGTATCTCATCTTGAAAGAGTCTTGTGGAGAGTTGCTGGGTGAAGTGCCTGAGGTAAGAAATTTCCTTTGGCAAGTAGAAAGTCAACCATTAGTTGCCAAAGTCTCTAATTTTCAAAGTATCTCCAGATGCATTTCTTAATTGTCAGTTACACCTATTAAATCACCCCACAA